AAACGCTATACTATTTCTTTGTTGGATAAATTTTATTTTATGCTTTGGGCTCTCATCAATGAATTTCAGATTATGTATTTTAGGGGTGTTACAAGTTGGTATCAGAGCAATAGCTTAAGCGAACTAGGTAGGGAGCTAAGACGCCTAGACTTAAGCTGAGATTGTGAACATTAATTTGTGAATTATGGGTAAGAACCCTAACATAGGAGAGCCTTAGAGTCAACGAAGATTCATGATTCATGAACTGCGACGACGAGATTGAGGACCCTTATGTATAACCTATTCGAAATTTCACTTAGCTAATGCTATTTTGAGTATGTTGTTACATAAGCGTGCTCGAACTTACTGTTATTGCAAAGACTTATGAATGCATTGATCATAGAGATAGCAAATGGTAGTCAGGTTGTGGTACGTGAGATTGTTAGAAGTTGCGTATTGGGAGTTGAAGGGAAGGAATTTCGGGTAGATTTCATACCCAAGACTATAGGCGGATTCGATGTCATTATCGGGATGGATTGGTTGGTAGAGAACCAAGCAGAAAATTTTATGCTCTAAAAAGCTGATCCGAGTCCCTTTGCCGGATGGGGATGCAGTGATTGCCTGAGTTCTTCAACATCGCACTCGGGATTATCCAGATGCCTAAATAATAGAGGCTTAGTGTGGTGGTGCCACTCTATAGGAACAAAGGTAAAACACAATGGTAGAATATACTGGGCTTCTTTGGTTACCTGAAATTCGAGAGGTGACAATTTAAGATTTGCAGCAGCCTCAATCTACAGTCGACACTAACCAAAGGAAATGCAAATGTGAGGAATTGACATTTGTGGTTCACCTTGTTCAATAATCAGAACGTATGTTACAATCTGAGTACCTACTCAAATTGAACATGACTTATATAACAAAAGGATAGAAGCTTCAGCTTATTACACCAGCGAAGTAGGCTGGTAACGGAATTTGATGAGATGCTTATGCATCAATGGTTTAGCCTCTGTATGACCATGACATAACCGCCACCAAATTTATTGGAAGAAGAGTAAGTGATGAAGTTGTTCAGGAAGACATTAAGTTGTGGCCCTTTGAAGTGGTGGCTGGGAGTGGCGACAAACCAAAGATTGTAGTAAAATACGAGGATGAAAAGAAGGATTTTTCTGCTGAAGAGATATCTTCCATGATTTTGATGAAAATGAAAGGGGGAAGTTGAGATCAAAATATACTATGAGATAGATGACAATGGGATCCTGCATGTCTCAGCTAGGGAATTAACTACTGACAGGAACAAGCGATCAAGATAACCGACGGTGGTGGCCTGTCAAAAGCGGGGATTGCCAAAATGATTAAAGATGCTGAACGATATAAGCAAGAGGAGGAAGCACACATAAAGAAGGTGATGGCCCATAAAGCTTTAAATGACTATGTGTATCGGTTGAGAGTCAACTTAAACCGATACAAGATTCGGTTGAGTCTAATTATGGATATGGGGCTTAGTGTTAAAGACTTGGAAGAGATAGAATATGAGATCAAGGAGACAATCGAGTGGCTTGATGAAAACCTGATGCCGATACTGATGAGTTAGAGGAGAAGGAAATGGAGCTTGACAGTATATGCAGACGGACCAAGTATAAGCTATCTTGATGCCGTAGGGCATATGATGGTAAGGTAGTATGACACATATTGCACCGAACAAGATCATCTTTGAAGTATGTAGCTAGTTTTTATGCATGCTTGGTATATTAGCATGTTTTTCCTAGCCATGAGCAGATTAGGGACTGAAGGCAAAAGTGAGCACAGTGAACTTTGTGGTCAATGAATTTTGGTAACAACGATGCTTAACTTGATTCTTGTTAATCTAATTTGAAGAGTTTGAAACATGGTTTAGTAGTTTTTTTATCGACCATTTGATGTGGTGAGCCTCTAGGTACAAATGTTCTAGCATTAAGCCTGGTGGTTGCAAATAGTCTTGAATTGCCTAAGCTAGTCCAATATATTCTTTTGTGTTTATCTCTTAATGCATGCTTTCTAGGTGCATGTACAATTACTTTTCTATTTTAACTTGTACGACACCTTAGAACCTTTTCCGGTATGTTGGCTTGAAGCGGGTGAGAGACCATTCGCCGGTCCCGAAATCATGCAAGAAACGGCCCGAAAGGGGTGAAGTGTATTCGAGAGCGCTTAAAGGCAGTTCATAATCGATAAAAGAGTTATGTAGATACAAGGAGCCGACCTATAGAATTCCAAGTGGGCGACCGCGTTATGGTAAAAGTAGCTCCCTGGAAGGGCATTGCCCGTTTTGGGAAGCATGGAGAACTCAGACCCCGTTCCCTCGGACCATTCAAAATTTTGGCTAGAGTGGGACTGCAAGCTTATAAACTAGAACTACCACCGGAAATGGATGGAATCCATAACACATTTCATGTATGTTACCTTCGTAAGTGCTTAGCGGAAGAGGAAAATGTTATTCCACTTTTAGAAATTCTTGTGGATGAGAACAACCAGTGTGTTGAAGAACCGGAAGCCATATTGGAAAGAAAGACTAAAGTGTTGAGACACAAAGAAATTGTTATGGTTAAAGTACAATGGAAGCACCACCGAGGGTTGAACGTGACTTGGGAAGCGGAAGAGGATTTGAAGAGGCGTTACCCCCGTCTTTTCGTTTGAAATAAATTTCGAGGACGAAATTCAATCCAAGATAGGGAGGATTGTTACACCTATTTTTTCCCCTTTTGTTTATTTGGCCCTTTTAAATTGGGGGGGGGGGGTTTACCTACTGTATATAGTTGGTGACCATTTGATCTTCCTCACTTGCTACTTTTTTTTCTTTTGATATGATGGTTGGGGTTAGTAGTTGGGGGATA